AGCGTCTCCGCTGCTTTCTTTTTGTCCGTATGATTTATTTTTTGACTATAAAATACAAATACTCCGTTCAGGTCAAAATATTCAAGTGCAATAATATACAAAAATAAAAATTCATATGACTTTGAAAACACACATCAAAAGGAAATAATAATGGTTAATCACATCCTATCACTTGGAAATATGTACTTCTAAACTTAAACAAACTCGTTAAATGTTAGCTCTGAATTCTTTACTCAGCCGTGTTCATTTTGTGGGTATTCAATGATGGGACAATATATTCTTCTATCAATGTAATAATCATTGGGCTTTTTCGTACTTTGCACTCTGAAAGATTTTAAAATTTTTACTTTACACCCTCAAAGATTAAATTTCTCACATCAAAAATATTACAATGTGGTCCTTTTATTAGCTTCCTTTATTTTTTTTGTCAAAATCTAACCTATTGACACTAGCAAAAAAACTAACAAAAAGTTAATAGAAGGGTCACATTGTAACACTTTTGATACATTGAGGCTGCAATGTGAAAAATTTAATTTTTGAGGGTATAAAGTGAGAATTTTGAAATCTTTTAGGGTGTAAAGTGCAATTCACCCAAAATTATTTAATCTTTATTATTAAGGATTTTATGGAAAATTATAATCATCACATCGTGAGATAATAGAAAAATATGAAATATTTTGTCTATGGATGTATCTTGGCGATATCTATGTTCTATTTTAAAGTTTTACTGTGTCACTGTGCTCGTATCCTTATATCCATTTCATATCCGGTATCCGCATCAGTGCTTCATAGTTTTTTGAGCAAATTATGCACCTTGACATCAACATTGGGTGTAGTTTCAATATTGGTGAGTGAAAGTTGTCTGACCAGGAGGTGCTGTGAATTAATAACCTGTATGGTGCTAATTTCCACCAGGTGAGGTGTAATTGCCATTATTTCTCCTCCAAAAAATATTACATATGTTCCAGGGCAACATCTTAAAGTTTTAAAGGTTGGAATAGTTTATAATTTGCAATGACATCAAGTTGTTGGTTCTTACCCCACTTCTTCATTGATTTGATANAATTTTTATACTTTGCACCCTAAAAGATTTTAAAATTTTCACTGTACATCCTCAAAGATTAAATTTTTCATATTGCACACTTAATGTATCAAAAATATTACAATGTGACCCTTGTATTATCATATGTTATTTTTTCTATCAAAGTCAACTCATTGGCAGTGCCAAAAAAACTAACAGGAGGATCACATTGCAACATTTTTGATATATTGAGGGTGCAATGTGAGAAATTTAATGTTTAAGAGTGTAAAGTAAGAATCTTGAAATCTTTTAAGGTGCGAAGTGCAATTTACCCAAAATTATTTAATTTTTATTTATTATTAAAGATTTTATAGAAAATTATAATCATCACATCGTGAGATAGTAGAAAAATATGAAATATTTTGTCTATGGACGTATCTTGACGATATCTATGTCTTATTTTAAAGTTTTACTGTATCACTATGTTCGTATCCTATTGCATTCATTTCACATCTCGTATCTGCATACGTGATTCGTAGTGTTATGAGCAAATTATGTACCTTGACATCAACATTGGGCGAAGTTTCGATATTGGCAAGTGAAAGTTGTAACCAGGAGTTGTTGTGAATTAATAACTTGTATGGTGCTAAAATGCATGGATGTTTTTAATGTTTTTCATGATTTTTTAAGAATTTTTTGGGCCTTTTGTCTAGCATTTTGTTTGTATTGACCCTTATCGTGCCACGAGTGTGACCCATTTGTATCAATGCCCTTTGAGATAAGGATCGATATGCGACCTTGTATTATCACCCCTTTGTTAGAACTTAGAACAAAGGGTGAGGGAATGAAAATCTTTCCACTTCTTAGGATATCTATTCCTTGTCTTTAGCGTCTCCGCTGCTTTCTTTTTGTCCGTATGATTTATTTTTTGACTATGAAATACAAATACTCCGTTCAGGTCAAAATATTCAAGTGCAATAATATACAAAAATAAAAATTCATATGACTTTGAAAACACACATCAAAAGGAAATAATAATGGTTAATCACATCCTATCACTTGGAAATATGTACTTCTAAACTTAAACAAACTCGTTAAATGTTAGCTCTGAATTCTTTACTCAGCCGTGTTCATTTTGTGGGTATTCAATGATGGGACAATATATTCTTCTATCAATGTAATAATCATTGGGCTTTTTCGTATTTTGCACTCTGAAAGATTTTAAAATTTTTACTTTACACCCTCAAAGATTAAATTTCTCACATCAAAAATATTACAATGTGGTCCTTTTATTAGCTTCCTTTATTTTTTTTGTCAAAATCTAACCTATTGACACTAGCAAAAAAACTAACAAAAAGTTAATAGAAGGGTCACATTGTAACACTTTTGATACATTGAGGCTGCAATGTGAAAAATTTAATTTTTGAGGGTATAAAGTGAGAATTTTGAAATCTTTTAGGGTGTAAAGTGCAATTCACCCAAAATTATTTAATCTTTATTATTAAGGATTTTATGGAAAATTATAATCATCACATCGTGAGATAATAGAAAAATATGAAATATTTTGTCTATGGATGTATCTTGGCGATATCTATGTTCTATTTTAAAGTTTTACTGTGTCACTGTGCTCGTATCCTTATATCCATTTCATATCCGGTATCCGCATCAGTGCTTCGTAGTTTTTTGAGCAAATTATGCACCTTGACATCCACATTGGGTGAAGTTTCAATATTGGTGAGTGAAAGTTGTCTGACCAGGAGGTGCTGTGAATTAATAATCTGTATGGTGCTAATTTCCACGAGGTGAGGTGTAATTGCCATTATTTCTCCTCCAAAAAATATTACGTATGTAATCCAGGGCAACATCTTAAAGTTTTAAAGGTTGGAATAGTTTAAAATTTGCAATGACATCAAGTTGTTGGTTCTTACTCCACTTCTTCATTGATTGACAGTTGCAATGATTTTATAATTTTGTTAGTCTGGCTCTTTGTAGTTGAACAGCCTGTGATCTTGTTATTAGATGGAAATTCTAGAAATTAATTGTTAGTGTTAGAAAAAGAATTTCTTGAAAAGCTTGGATTGGACATGTTGACATGTTGGAAATTCTAAAAATTAATAGTTATTAGATGGTATGTGTCTGAGTGTATGCACTACTGTCTTTCTTTCTTTTAGGTGGCGTTTATGAAGCCAATTCCACCCTGAAAGTGTGTGATTGCCAAGCAATGGTAAGTTTTTCTTTTGCTTCTCTTCTTTGCAAAATTACATGTCTCTTGCCAGATTCTTACCATGTTGCCTGTATTCTTGATGATTCGTTTACCTTCACTGCTGCACCAACAGAAACTCTTTCTTTCAAACTAGTTAAGGCATTTANCTCGTATCTGCATACGTGATTCGTAGTGTTATGAGCAAATTATGTACCTTGACATCAACATTGGGCGAAGTTTCGATATTGGCAAGTGAAAGTTGTAACCAGGAGTTGTTGTGAATTAATAACTTGTATGGTGCTAANTATCTGATTGTTTGGTTTTAAATGATGCGTGTTTCTTTGAACTCCGTCAACGTTGGATCAATATGAGTTGCCTGTGGTAGTTATAGTCTTTAACAATAGTGGTGTATATGGTGGTCGACTAGAGGTGCCCTGAAAAAATTGCAGGACCTTACGAAGATGATCCAGCACCGACATCTCTTGTCCCTGGTGCAGGATATCATAAACGTTACAATCGATCCAGATGCTGGTGCAGAAAGTGGGAGGTTGCAGCACCACAACTAAGGTAAGCTGTAGCACAGCGATTCATGGTTTGTTAACCCTTGTTGTTTGAGTTCGTTAATCTTTTCTGTTTGTCTAAGTGGTCAGTTAANAGCGATTCATGGTTTGTTAGCCCTTGTTGTTTGAGTTCGTTAATGTTTTCTGTTTGTCTAAGTGGTCAGTTAAAATTTACAAAGCCAGTGTCATGGTTATTGCTAGCGTGTAGATGCAAAGTCATAACTCCAGTTCTACTTTGGCATTAAAGGATTACAATTCATGATACTTGACCTAGTTGATGTACAGTATCAACTGACTCCATCTACCGGGTGCACGCTTAAGCTGATTTTGTCACGATGGAAATGCATATTAGATATTCATATTGATCTACTTCGTGTGCTTGATAGTGTTTATTATACATTGTTTTCGCTTTTTCTATGGCACCTGTAAACAGTGTATTTGTTTTGTTAGCAGTTAGATTGGTGGGTGGAAATTGGAACTGCAGCATGCTCTCAAGACTTTTGGAGGCTGAACAAAAGAAAGTTCAAGTTCTTTGAGCTAATGGTTGCATGGTACAGAGTCCTCAGTTGTTGCTCGGTTTTGTGCGTGATACAGAGTTTTGTAATCACCTTTCCGTGCACCTTAAAAGTGGGGATTCCAAATTTTTTTTAATGTTTATATTCTGATATTACATGTAAGATAACTACGCGGGTTAGCATTTCATGGGGTTTGAAGTCTTTTGAGACATTAATGAATGTGTATAAGCATCATTGGCTCATGTGGGCATGGGTGGTATCTTATTTGCTTCCGAAGTAAATAGTTCAATGATAAAATTGAGTTTTCCTTCTTCAAGCGACTAATTTTCTCTTTTCTATGTGTAAATTCACCATGGAGAAATTATTATGTTGCAAAAAGGGCAATTCAATATGGGAAATTTTTGTTATTATGCAATTTTATATAATGTATAAAGAGATTGTTTTAGTGATTTGAATCCATGACGTTCAATTTTACCTAGCAAAAATGTTATCTCTGTTGAGAAATTTATACTTTGGTAAAATTTTACTATAACAAATTACACCTCAGCCTAAAGAAAAATGAAAAATTTATCACATCCTTTATAAGAACCAACATGCCTGGTAGTGAACTAACTCCTTGAAGTTCCATGAATGGACATAGATATGTATCACAACTCAACCACCGGGTTTACTTNTTCCTCATGGTTCTTTCTATTATTGCAATGGATGCTTTGGAGGAATTGACAACAGTTGATAGAGGAGAAAGTTTTCCTTGTTTACGGGAATTACACATCAGTCAATGTCCCAGGTTGACTGAATTTCCTTATCTTCCATCACTTGGGAAATTAAGCATAGCAAACAGCAACGAGATGCTATTAAGGTCAGTGATGGATCTCACTTCACTTTCCTGGCTTCAAATAGATAAGTTTGATGAGTTGGAGGTTCTTCCAGATGGACTGCTTCAAAATCACAAGGTTCTTGAGTCCCTAAGAATTTGTGAACTAAACAATCTCAAGACTCTGTCACATCAGCTAGATAATCTTTCTGTTCTGAAAGAGTTGAAAATTGATCGTTGTGATTCTCTCGAGTATTTACCAGATGGACTCAAAAACCTTAGATCCCTTGAGACACTCGAGTTACGGGATTGTGACAGCCTTACATCCTTACCGGTGACAGGGTTACAAGGCTTGTCTTCCTTGAGATCATTGAGGATAAAGTACTGTAAGAAACTAAGTTGTTTATCTGAAGGAGTAAAACACCTGACTGCTCTCCAATATTTGCACATAATTGGATGTCCAGAGATGACGTATTTGCCCGAAGACATGCAACATTTAAATGCTCTCCGAGAGCTGATAGTATGGTCTTGTAATGGATTAGTTTCTCTACCGAATTGGCTAGGAAGCCTCATGTCGCTGTGGTCGTTGGTGTTTTGGGATTGCCCCAACTTGATCTCCTTGCCAGATGGGATGCAGTCACTCAAAATACTGTTTATTACAGAATGTCCACATTTGGAGAGGCGATGCGAGAAAGAGAAAGGAGAGGACTGGCCAAAGATAGCTCATGTTCGTGAGATTCGAATCAATGATCGGGAAATACAGTCCTTGATCCCACACGACTAAAAATGCATCTGACGGGGCAACCTTGATTGATTCATATGGTTGTGGTAGCCAGCAGCAGCTTGTGGAGCAGGCAGATAAAAATAAACTTTAGAAGGTAAATTTCTGTGACTTCCTTGTTGATGTATTATTTATTTCTCCCTGCTCTGCTCTGCTCTTGGGGTCAAGTTATATTATAGCGATCCTAAACTCCCCCAAAGCATTGTAAAATATTTATTTATTTATCATAATTTGACTTCCAAAAAATAATAAATTTCAGTACATTGTTTGTCTTGTATTTGGACAGTAATTCAAATATATATTTGGACAGTCTAAATATATATTTGAACAGTAATTCAAACATTAATAAAAAAAATATAAAAAATTTATTTTTAGATTAATAATTTCATAAAAAAAAAAATCAAAAAACCAAACTTTAAAATATATATATATTGTTCACCTTATTTCCAAAATTTTCAAAGAAAATTATAAAAACAAGTTGCACTTCTTTTTCTGTTTCTTTGACTCAAATCTTATTTTTTTTTTCAAAAATTTAGATAACAAAAATTCTAAACAAACTTGTTTTTGGTGTTTTTAAAATTTTGATAACAAAAAATTGATTTGGAGATGCTAACCAAACATGNGCTGAAAATTCCAGAAAAAGTTCGCCATTTATCTTTTTATAGGTACTCAGATTGGGTGGTTCCTCGATTCGAAGATGTGCGAAAAGTGCAATCTTTACGCTCCATTGTAGTTCTATCATGGCCCATGAACGGGAAGGATATTGCTACCTACATCTCAAAACAAAGTAATCTGAGAGTGTNGGCCTAAATTTTTGTACCTCTATGGGATTAGTTGGACTTGGAGAAACGATCTCAGATATGTAGTTACAATTTTTTTTTTTACTTTTTTTTTGGGAGGGGAGGCGGAGGGAGGAAGGGGGCTTGAACCCTTGACCTCAAGAAGGTAAAACCTTCACAAGGTAAAGAGTATCATTGGATCAAAGACCCATTGGTATATAGTTACAATTAGGTACTCTTGATTGATGCATTTGTGTGTTTGCTCTTCTTTTTTTTTGGTTCATCTTCATCTTCTTTTTCAATTTTTTAGGTAAAATTTGAGTTGGTTACAATTTTCTCAATTTGTTCATTTTTGGCTTCAATTGTTTTTGATCTTATGGTCTTATTTATGAAAGAAACTATATTTTTTATTTTTCGGTGAAAGTATTGCATTGATGGAAAAATTGGACATTATAAAGAAACTCAAACATTCCCCATCGTTGGATTTTCATGGACAGACAGTCATTGCTTTTTTGGTTCAGTACTTCTATACTTGAACTTCGATTTTCCCAATGCTCACAAGCTCCATTTTTGTCTGTGTCTTCACTTACCCCTCTGTTGGGTTCTAATGTTTAAGCTGGACCCGAGGAACCTTGGTGCTCAACTAGACTAGTAGCAGCCAGTATGTCCCATGAGGTTGCATATAACCCATTGNAATGAGAAAGTTGCTCTTATGATGGCTACGCTTCCAATATTTAAGCAGAGATGTTTGTCGGAGGCTGATTCTTGGAGTTTATTCAAGCACCGTGCATTCGGGATTGGAAGGAGGGAGGAGAACTTAGAGTTGGAAAAAATCGGCAAGGCAATAGTGAAGAAATGTGGTGGGTTGCCCTTGGCAATAAAGGCCCTTGGAAGCCTGTTGNGTCCCATGAGGTTGCATATAACCCATTGACTATTTCTAGTACTAGTGTCTCAAATGAACTAGGATTCTGGTTTCCACAAGCAGCTCAAAGGGCTTTCTGGAGTACAATGTTTTTTTGCATTCGTAAAGCCCATCACTATTGTTCTGGGATATGCTTGCAGGAATGAGGAGTTATGCAATGTATTGCTGTAATGGTTCCTCTGTTAGGTCTGTCAATGTATTGCTGTAATGGTTCCTCTGTTAGGTCTGCCTATTCCCTTACAGCTTACAAGCAGTCCTTTCGCATTAGTCATAAAACACTATTCTTGTCCTGAACTTCTTTTGAGGTGCAAACATATACTTCAAACTGGGCTAAATTATCGCAGGTTCCCTAAAGGGATGGACTTGCAGTCGAGGTAATACATGTGTGCACAATTTATCTCTCTTGTTTGATGAGTTAGGTTCAAGAAGTATGTATAGTTCTCTTATAAGTGCCAAGAACTTTAGGAAATGACCATTTTGCAGTCTGAATAATGGAATTGTATTACAACTCATAGCCGAGGAGAATATTTCCAGTAATTTCCTTTACATTTTTTGAAAAAAAATGGTGTTAGAAATAAAGAATTAATTTTAGTTGTTAGAACTTATTTGTCCTTAATTTTTCTTCGAAAAATGACACCTTTAATAGTGATATCTTTTTTGAAACAGAGGTAGCTAGAGCAAGTTGGTGGCAGCATATAGATGTCTATGTAAATCTCGTGGGGTTTTATTTGGCCGGACTTACAGGACCTATTGTCATGGGTTTCATTCTCCATTTGGATGGGATATTGGGAGGATCTATTGTAAAATCATCTCATCTCATAGCCCGTTTCATAGATTGTCAAAAGAAGGTTCATGATCCTATCTCCCCTCAAACTTTACTACTAACTCTTTTTTTTTTTCTTTTTGGTTTTCCTTCTTTTCCTTTCTAGCAAAAGCTCTGTCTGCCTGCCAAGAATGCCATGGTAACCCCCAAAAAAATAGGAATTTCTGAATCGTTGTCGATATTTTGCAGGCAACCAAGCTACTTGAGGGTAGATCTTCATCATGAAATGCATTGATTGATTGCTTGCTGCTTCTTCGTAAATTTGTTGAAAAGTTGTTCAAAAATGCTGTTGCATCTGATACAATTGTGAATCGATCGAATTTATTCTATAAGCATGTCCATTTCCATTTGTATTAACTAGTTGGTGCACACGTGCGTTGCGTTGCACCTAAATTATATTACACCATTTTTATTTGTATTAACTAGTTGATACACACGTGTTGTATGTATGAGAACCATTTTGACTTAAAATATTATTCTAAGCTGTCATTGTTATCCAAGTTACAACCAGTAGAAGAAATAAATAATTATGTCTGTTGTGTTGGAGATGTCTGACCAAATATAAGCAACTGAGCTCCTTGGTCAATTCCTTCATTCTGAGTGTAATAGATTGAACTATCCTAGCGGCTAGATTATATAATAAATTTAAAATACTAATGACTTATATTAGTAGACTTATATTAGTAGAAATGAGTTCTCGTAAAAAAAAAAAATAACTTTNGGACATTGTAAGAGATGTGAACATCTTCCACCTCTCGGGAAACTACCCTTCCTCAAGGTTCTTTCTATTATTGCAATGGATGCTTTGGAGGAATTGACAACAGTTGATAGAGGAGAATGTTTTCCTTGTTTACGGGAATTATACATCCGTCAATGTCCCAGGTTGACTGAATTTCCTTGTCTTCCATCACTTGGGAGATTAAGCATAGGAAACAGCAATGAGATGGTATTAAGGTCGGTGATGGATCTCACTTCACTTTCCTGGCTTCAAATATCTTGGTTTGATGGGTTGGAGTTTCTTCCAGATGGACTGCTTCAAAATCACAAGGTTCTTGAGTCCCTATGGATTAGAGGACTACGCAATCTCAAGACTCTGTCACATCAGCTAGATAATCTTTCTGTTCTGAAAGAGTTGAAAATTGATCGTTGTGATTCTCTCGAGTATTTACCAGATGGACTCAAAAACCTTAGATCCCTTGAGACACTCGAGTTACAGGATTGTAACAGCCTTACATCCTTACCGGCGACAGGGTTACAAGGCTTGTCTTCCCTGAGAATATTGTTGATACAGAACTGTAAGAAACTAAGTTGTTTATCTGAAGGAGTGAAACACCTGACTGCTCTCCAGGATTTGACTATAAATGGATGTCCAGAGATGACGTCATTGCCGGAAGACATGCAACATTTAAATGCTCTCCAATGGCTGAGCTTATATTGTTGTGCTGGGTTAGTTTCTCTACCGAATTGGCTAGGAAGCCTCATGTCGCTGTCGACATTGGAAATTGGCAATTGGCCCAACTTGATCTCCTTGCCAGATGGGATGCAGTCACTCAAAACACTGTATATTAATGAATGTCCACATTTGGAGAGGCGATGCGAGAAAGAGAAAGGAGAGGACTGGCCGAGGAACCTTGGTGCTCAACTAGACTAGTAGCAGCCAGTATGTCCCATGAGGTTGCATATAACCCATTGACTATTTCTAGTACTAGTGTCTCAAATGAACTAGGATTCTGGTTTCCACAAGCAGCTCAAAGGGCTTTCTGGAGTACAATGTTTTTTTGCATTCGTAAAGCCCATCACTATTGTTCTGGGATATGCTTGCAGGAATGAGGAGTTATGCAATGTATTGCTGTAATGGTTCCTCTGTTAGGTCTGTCAATGTATTGCTGTAATGGTTCCTCTGTTAGGTCTGTCTATTCCCTTACAGCTTACAAGCAGTCCTTTCGCATTAGTCATAAAACACTATTCTTGTCCTGAATTTCTTTTGAGGTGCAAACATATACTTCAAACTGGGCTAAATTATCGCAGGTTCCCTAAAGGGATGGACTTGCAGTCGAGGTAATACATGTGTGCACAATTTATCTCTCTTGTTTGATGAGTTAGGTTCAAGAAGTATGTATAGTTCTCTTATAAGTGCCAAGAACTTTAGGAAATGACCATTTTGCAGTCTGAATAATGGAATTGTATTACAACTCATAGCCGAGGAGAATATTTCCAGTAATTTCCTTTACATTTTTTGAAAAAAAATGGTGTTAGAAATAAAGAATTAATTTTAGTTGTTAGAACTTATTTGTCCTTAATTTTTCTTCGAAAAATGACACCTTTAATAGTGATATCTTTTTTGAAACAGAGGTAGCTAGAGCAAGTTGGTGGCAGCATATAGATGTCTATGTAAATCTCGTGGGGTTTTATTTGGCCGGACTTACAGGACCTATTGTCATGGGTTTCATTCTCCATTTGGATGGGATATTGGGAGGATCTATTGTAAAATCATCTCATCTCATAGCCCGTTTCATAGATTGTCAAAAGAAGGTTCATGATCCTATCTCCCCTCAAACTTTACTACTAACTCTTTTTTTTTTTCTTTTTGGTTTTCCTTCTTTTCCTTTCTAGCAAAAGCTCTGTCTGCCTGCCAAGAATGCCATGGTAACCCCCAAAAAAATAGGAATTTCTGAATCGTTGTCGATATTTTGCAGGCAACCAAGCTACTTGAGGGTAGATCTTCATCATGAAATGCATTGATTGATTGCTTGCTGCTTCTTCGTAAATTTGTTGAAAAGTTGTTCAAAAATGCTGTTGCATCTGATACAATTGTGAATCGATCGAATTTATTCTATAAGCATGTCCATTTCCATTTGTATTAACTAGTTGGTGCACACGTGCGTTGCGTTGCACCTAAATTATATTACACCATTTTTATTTGTATTAACTAGTTGATACACACGTGTTGTATGTATGAGAACCATTTTGACTTAAAATATTATTCTAAGCTGTCATTGTTATCCAAGTTACAACCAGTAGAAGAAATAAATAATTATGTCTGTTGTGTTGGAGATGTCTGACCAAATATAAGCAACTGAGCTCCTTGGTCAATTCCTTCATTCTGAGTGTAATAGATTGAACTATCCTAGCGGCTAGATTATATAATAAATTTAAAATACTAATGACTTATATTAGTAGACTTATATTAGTAGAAATGAGTTCTCGTAAAAAAAAAAAATAACTTTTCATTGTCCAAAAAAATTGTACATTTAGTATTTAAATAAAAGGGAAAATTTGAGTCACACTTTTTCTATTTTACCATATTTTTAAGGACATTCCCTCTATTATCCAAAACATCACTAACATCCCTTCTAATTTGTATTTAAACATCACTAACACCCCCTATCGTTGAACCACCATTTCTTACAAATTAAAATTTATTTTTTTTACATAATAACAGTGGAGCCAATAAAAATTCAATACAAGTTGATTAAAATTTTATTCAATCCAATTGGCCTAAATTTTAATATCTAAAAAAATTCATAAAATAAAAAGAGTTTCATTGAAGATATGCCTACCTAAAAAGAATGTGAATGAAATTTTTCCTAAAATCTATTATGGACAATTTAGTAAAATTGTATTCTAGTTAAGGTCTTCAATTTGATAGGGAGTGTCAGTGATAATTCAAAAAATAAAAAGATACCCTTGCAAATATGATAAACTAGGAGAAGTGTGATTAAAATTTTCCCTACATAAAATGATTTCAATTGGCCCAAAAAATTACAAGGCATATGAACAAAAAAAATCACACAAACAAGAAATTTTTTATTGAGTAATGCTACATAAATTTAAAAACTAGACTTAAAAATTAGACTTGATAATCTTAACCATTGAATAGGTAGTGAATCTCAATAAATACTGAGACCAACAGTGAAATCAATGGTTGAGATTATCAAGTATAATTTTTAAGTTCATGTAACATTACTCTTTTTTATTTGAATACAAACTGTAGAATGCCTTATATTTGCTCTTCCCAATATAATAAATGCACATCATCTTAAAAACCAGAGTAATTTGTAGATCGATTGTTTGCGGCAGAAGTCCATAAAAAATTGAAAATTCATGTAACAACTTCAATTTGTAGATCCAAAAATGTGGGAGGACAAAGGGTGAAGCCCAATTATTTGATTTTTTTGTCTTAGTNATAAAGAATGCAAATAAGCGCCTCATTACAAAACACAATTGACATCAATGAAACCATGAACAAAGACATTGCACCAATTATTTCTGGCCGGAATCGCTGGTCTTTACACAATCTTCAAAGCTAACAATTGTATAGGCTGCTTATGAGAACTACAGACTACAAACCAATATACTCTTAGATGTCCTTATCATGAATATATGTTTGGTATGTTAATTCTATTAGATCAGCAGACCCAAAAAAGAAAAAGAAAAAAAAAACCAATACCACCTCTAGTTTTTGGCCACCTCCATGAGTCCCACCATGTCAAACCATAATCACCTCCCCAATGTTCTAGTATAAATACGGACACGCAACAATAGAAGCAATGAGAATAACTTGGTTGTAGTTCAAATTTTGCATAGTAAACGAATGTTTTAGCATTTACTATTTATGGAAGTTCTAAGTTATCATCAACCATAGACCTTAAGCCAAATCTCTAGTAGAGTAGCAAATAAAAACCTAACAATCAAATTGAATTTGGGGGAAAAAAGTTCATAAACAGGCTCATCACAACAATGATTTGTGCATTTTATAATATAGTCATAGTATATATAAGGAGAAGTTCCATCAACTATCAAAAAATTCAATAGCATGTTATATATTTAATTTTATGGTATATTTACTTTTTATGTCAATCTATACTACTTTAAAATGTCATGATAAATGAAAAAATTTATTTGGAAACTTGTTTCCTCCAAAATTTTGAAAATACCAAGATTACCATTAGAATTGAAATTTCAAACACTTGTGACATTTATCATATCAAATGGGTCATTAAATATTTCACAATTAGCATTATTGTATTTCATAGCGGAGATATATATATTAGCAAATCTCAAAACTTTTGAATTCCTTTTTTTGCCCCTAAGAAAGTAATTAATTCCTCTTAAATCTAACTCCATCAATAAACCTAACGATCTAAATCTCATACACTAGTGCCCCTTCGTCTCTCTCACTAACTCCTCTGCCTTATATGGATCTTCAGTTAGACAATTATTTCCTTCTCGTCCTTTTTTTTGGCCAAGGAATTGAGAAATGGAGAGATCTGAGTAATTTAAATGCTTTTGTTGTAAACTAATAAGTTATGTGGAGAAGATTAGGTTCTATTTAATGCTTTTGTTTGATGGCCAAATAATTAGTTATAGATTAGGTTCTTGAGTTCATGAGTCTTGGATTTTGAAAAATCTGAAATTATTTTGTTTAGAATAGAAGTTATTAGGAAGTGAAGAATTATACATGTATATATGTTTGAATAAATGTTTGTTTATTGTGGTATTTTGAATTGAAGTGGCGAAGCACAACATGTCAAGTGGAGTAAGATCCAGACCCCTACATATAAGGTAGTCGTAACTTATGATAGCTTAGCACCCTTGGCTGATGTAATTATCTGGACTTTTTTTGTTCATTGTAATGTACTTTAATACCGAAAAAGATGTAATTCTCAGGTTGGTGATTAAGTACCCTATTTTTTATCTCATTGTTCTCTTTCTTAAGAAAGTTGTATTTACATGTACGAGTACAGATCCGACAGAAACCAAAAAACTTTTGAAAAAACTTGTCGTTAAAGGTTAATGGAGGTTTGGGAACAACAATAGGATGTGCTTGTCCAAAGTATGCATTTGGTTGTTTTTCAACATATTTCGTGATTTTGTCTCGTATAACTGAAATGCAAAAGAATATGCTATGACTCTTATCATAGCTTGTTCATTAAAGTTATCAAAATTTATTAAATCTGATTTCCTAATTTAAAACTTTTGTTTGTGGCGATTCTACCCTTTTTACTGATGCTAAAATTATCACATACATAGTTGAGTCGGTGACCTGAGAAACTGCTATTTGGACTGGTTAGTTTCTATGATGCACCGAGGAATGCGTTTGAAATTTACCCCAACGTAAAAGGTGATTTCCAAGAGGAATTCCTAATGAGTAGTCTTAACATCCAAAGAGTGCAATATAACAGAAAATGGATTAGATGGTCTCATATACTGGTGGGTTGTTTCAAATTAAATGTGGATGGTGCCAGTAAGGGGAATTTTATTGTAGAATTTGATTCTAAAATTTTGGTAGCTGGTTAATATGATTAATTGTCAATGCATGCCTAGCTAGAAGATATGGTATATATGGCTTAGGTTTCAAAGACTCCTGCATGGTTAAAATTTTGTGATGAGAAATATTTATCGAGAAGGGAACACAGTGGCAAATTTTTTCACAGGTCAACAACTTCACCATGATTTCCTTGGTTGTTTAAACATGCGTAAATCCATCTAAGAGATATTCTCAAAAGTTGGTGATATGAGATTCCTAATTGAATAAGAATTCAGCTCCAGTTGGGATGTTCACAAGGACCTCAAAAAGATGCTTGGATGTTTTCTTTTTTATGGTTTAATTTTCTTATTTTATGAATTGTATGCATTTTGGTTTTTAAAAATATTTTATATTTTTGAAATGATGTAGCTTAGAATGCATTTGAGGGGTAGAGCTCATTCCTTCCCTCTTACTAGGTGTAATTTTTTAAATGATTAATAAAATTGCACCCTCGACTGTCGAGGTTTAACAAAAAAAAATGTATAGATTGTTACCACAATATTTGGGATCTAAGGTATGCCTTTTGATAGATTATATGATTTTAGGATCAATGGGAGATGGGTTTTGGTGTAAACTTGTTATTAAAATGGAAGATTGAATTTTTAGGGTGGTAAAAGACTTGACTTGTATGCTTTGTGTGTTGCCTTAGATTATTTGTGGGTTGAGACCTGGAAAAAGAAGGTGTTCTTAAACTTAGCTCTATTCATTGTTTGTTTGTGGAAGGAAATGAAATTGTTTATTGGGCTTTTTCTTTGCTCTCATAACGTCTTAGTTCTGGAATTAGGAAAGTGGCACTAGACATGAACTCAATTATTGCCTAACAAAAAACTATTGTTCATTGTTCAACAAAATGTCAAAGGACTGGAACACCTTCTATGACTTTATTCTCTGTCACACTTTTGCATATACGTCTTGCAACTTCATATATTACCTCACAAAGTTAAGATCTCAAAGTTTGCGTACTCTTTCATGTTCTGTGATGTATTTAAAAACTTGGCAAGTTTATTTAAGATCTGGCCGACATCAAAGATTGACATTGTAGATTCTTGGTTGGACTTTTTCTATAGAGTTGTACGTGACTATAGATAATTGGCTAATTCGATAAATATTATTACATCTTCTTCATATCCACATGGNAAGATCTCAAAGTTTGCGTACTCTTTCATGTTCTGTGATGTATTTAAAAACTTGGCAAGTTTATTCAAGATCTGGCCGACATCAAAGATTGACATTGTAGACTCTTGGTTGGACTTTTTCTATAGAGTTGTACGTGACTATAGATAATTGGCTAATTCGATAAATATTATTACATCTTCTTCATATCCACATGGAAGGATTAATTATGGATTATTATGGTGAATGCCTTCAATGTGGGTACCACCATACCAGCTTCATGTTGTTGTTACAACCCCGTCAATGATGGAATTGAATAAAATACTTGATGAACATTTATCTAACCACTCCCCCCTTTTGTAACTAGTTATAGGTAATGGATTTGGTGCCTATTAGTTTATCTATGTTTGCTTCCATTTGTTTTATGTTATTGCCATGTTTAATTGAATCCAACATGAACATGTTTTTTCTTGAAATTTTATTTGTTTTGNACTCCCCCCTTTTGTAACTAGTTATAGGTAATGGATTTGGTGCCTATTAGTTTATCTATGTTTGCTTCCATTTGTTGTATGTTATTGCCATGTTTAATTGAATCCAACATGAACATGTTTTTTCTTGAAATTTTATTTGTTTTGTCAAACATTGCTACTGTTCTAGGAGGATTGAGGTTGGATACTTTTTTTTTTCCCGAAATGTAAGGTTGGATGAGTAGTAATTGATAGTTTAATGATTAGAGACATTTGAACTGAGAGTTGTTATTGGGCATTTTTAATGCGTCTCTATGTTATGAGTTCTTTATTTTTGATCATTCTATCTTTTTTCTCTTATGTTATGTGGATTTTGTAACTGGATTGATTGATTCTTAAGGAATTTTTCAAACTTTCTTGATACTATATGTTTATTTTTTTTATAATACTTTTCTATTTTTTCCTATTTTGTGATGGCTTTAATTTTGTTTTTGATGTTACTTTAATAATATATATGAACTTATTACAAACATGAAATCTAATTTAAGATAGTCCACACACAATGGGTGTGTGCACCAACTAGTTTATAAAAAAGTGGCATCATCATGGTGCTCATAACTTCACTAAAAACTGAATTCAGCAGATCGAATATGTACCAGAAGCCCAAAGTAGCACATAATTAATATTTGAAGTCATGTAGTTTTTGTTTTTGGGATCTAGACCCTTCTCATTTCATAGCTCAACATGAAGCAAAAAAAAAAAATGTAGTTAATCATAATACGGATTCATATCAACTACAATTCATCTATATACATCTGAACAAAGTCATTGATCTGAAGTTGCATTAGTAATGATCTAGGTGTTTTCACAACTTCTGGGGCTTTATACAGAAGTTCTAAAAATTAACCATAAATCATACAAGCCTCCCATTAATAGGTGGTTCAAGAAATGTGAAAACCAAACAAATATTAGGAAAGACTCGTGAATGGTGCAATTACTGAGTTATCAACAAAAGGTAAACCCATCACTTAATTAGCAAGCCCTCATCTATAGCAATTTAACATTCAACTGATTTATCAATAATGAGGCAAAAATGCACGCATACCCTCACCCAAACTTTATATCATTACATATTAAAATTCGAGAAATATCTGGCCTTTACATGATTGACAAAAATATTTAGAGTTCATGTCAAAATATTTCTAAGCTAATATCAGTTCTCAGATCCAATCCAATGCCGCATTTCACTCTACAAACCTAAGTAAAATGCATACGATTCCACCCAATAATTTGAACTAAATGACAGTTTTCAACTGGTAAATCAGTAATTCAAATATACTCAATTTAATATCATCTCCTTACTATATGTAAAAAAAATCCGTTAGATTAAAAAATCAATATAGACGTCTAACAAAAGTCAAAATTAAAAAACATGAACATTCCCTTTGAAATTGTCTACATACCAAAAAAGGACGTCTGAAAAATTTTCATCATGCATGCATCACAAATCCAGAAAACAAATCTTGCATTGAGATGATAGAACAGGATTTGGCAAACCCATTTGATGTAGAGCACAACCAAACCTACAAAACAGTCTTTCAACATTTCATAGAGAATCAAGAAGTCCAATTCACATCCTCGTGAATATAGCACACCCCTGAGAATTGAATTCAGCAAACGTTAACCGTGAAGGAGCACCCCAATCGACTATTGAGAGAGAGAGAGAGAGAATCAGAGCAGCGAGATGAAGGGAAACGTCACCCTTTAACCATTGCTCAATGATAATTTATGTATTTGAAAATAGGACATAATAGTTTTTATAGGGACAAAATGGAAAATTTTCACTTTATACTATTGTTTAGGGGTATTTATGGTATTCAAAATTTTGTTGGTTTAGTAGCTTTTAGAAGTACTAGTTGGTACACACGTGCGTTGCATAAACTCATTTCTAGCTTTAATTATATAGACTCATTATTCACGATTAGAAGATATAATGATAAATAAAGGTATACATGAANTTTTGTCTGTGTTAAATGAAGAACGATCACTGCCCATTCAGGAAGAACAAAGAGTAAAACAACTGGTAAATGAAAAGACTACTACAAGGGGAATGGAGAAAAGAACAAACCCACCTGATAAAGGGTACTGGTCTGATAAGGGGAGTTCTATGAGTGTAAGATGTGGCAGAAGTGATTCAAAGTGGATGGATAAGAATTTTGTAGAAGATTTTGAGCCAAATTCCTCAGATGAGGATTATGTGGATCAGATCTTTAGGCGTAAGCCCAAAGGTAAGATTCCTCTTTCATTTCGTGATTAGTTTTTTTTGTCATGGAATGTGAGAGGGGCTGGGAAAGTCTCTTTGCGCAGGAAACTTAGAAAAATTGTAAGAATGAATGATGTCTGTTTGATGTCGATTCAGGAGCCTAAAATGGAGGGAAGGAAGTTACAGGGGTTNAAAAAGAGTAAAACAACTGGTAAATGAAAAGACTACTACAAGGGGAATGGAGAAAAGAACAAACCCACCTGATAAAGGGTACTGGTCAGATAAGGGGAGTTCTATGAGTGTAAGCAGTGGCAGAAGTGATTCAAAGTGGATGGATAAGAATTTTGTAGAAGATTTTGAGCAAAATTCCTCAGATGAGGATTATGTGGATCAGATCTTTAGGCGTAAGCCCAAAGGTAAGATTCCTCTTTCATTTCATGATTAGTTTTTTTTGTCATGGAATGTGAGAGGGGCTGGGAAAGTCTCTTTGCGCAGGAGACTTAGAAAAATTGTAAGAATGAATGATGTCTGTTTGATGTCGATTCAGGAGCCTAAAATGGAGGGAAGGAAGTTACAGGGGTTAGCAAGGGGATTGGGAATGTCTCATTATTTTTTTAATCCCCTAGCTGAAAGAAATTTATGGTTACTCTGGGATGATAGAGTGCAGATGCAGAAAGTGGCACTCATTCTTTACAGGAGAGTCTATTTTCTGTTATTCCTTCTTTAGTTACTGATGAAATGAATGGGTTGTTGCTGGCTGAAGCTTTTGTAAAGGAAGTGAAGTCTGTTTTTTTCTCGATGTCTGTGAAGAGTGCAANCATGATTAGTTTTTTTTGTCATGGAATGTGAGAGGGGCTGGGAAAGTCTCTTTGCGCAGGAGACTTAGAAAAATTGTAAGAATGAATGATGTCTGTTTGATGTCGATTCAGGAGCCTAAAATGGAGGGAAGGAAGTTACAGGGGTTAGCAAGGGGATTGGGAATGTCTCATTATTTTTTTAATCCCCTAGCTGAAAGAAATTTATGGTTACTCTGGGATGATAGAGTGCAGATGCAGAAAGTGGCACTCATTCTTTACAGGAGAGTCTATTTTCTGTTATTCCTTCTTTAGTTACTGATGAAATGAATGGGTTGTTGCTGGCTGAAGCTTTTGTAAAGGAAGTGAAGTCTGTTTTTTTCTCGATGTCTGTGAAGAGTGCAACTAGAGTGGATGGTTATTCTAGGAAATTTTTCCAGGAAGCCTGGGAGATTATAAAAGGAGATGTTTTAAGGGCTATTAATTTTTTTCTAAGGGGTGGTAAGGTGCCAAGGTCAGTGAATGCTACTACACTAGTTTTAATACCAAAGAAGACTGATCCTGTGGCTTTTACAGATTATAGGCCAACTAGCTTATGTAATTTCTTATATAAGATTTTTACTAAGCTGTTGGCTATTAGACTTGCACCTATTCTTCCTTTAATAGTGTCTGAAGAGCAGCATGGGTTTGTTAAAGGAAGGAATGTTGGGGATTGTGTGGTTTTAGCACAGTTCATGGTGGAGAATTTGGATAGGAGAGTGGAGGNAGGTGGCACTCATTCTTTACAGGAGAGTCTATTTTCTGTTATTCCTTCTTTAGTTACTGATGAAATGAATGGGTTGTTGGTGGCTGAAGCTTTTGTAAAGGAAGTGAAGTCTGTTTTTTTCTCGATGTCTGTGAAGAGTGCAACTAGAGTGGATGGTTATTCTAGGAAATTTTTCCAGGAAGCCTGGGAGATTATAAAAGGAGATGTTTTAAGGGCTATTAATTTTTTTCTAAGGGGTGGTAAGGTGCCAAGGTCAGTGAATGCTACTACACTAGTTTTAATACCAAAGAAGACTGATCCTGTGGCTTTTACAGATTATAGGCCAACTAGCTTATGTAATTTCTTATATAAGATTTTTACTAAGTTGTTGGCTATTAGACTTGCACCTATTCTTCCTTTAATAGTGTCTGAAGAGCAGCATGGGTTTGTTAAAGGAAGGAATGTTGGGGATTGTGTGGTTTTAGCACAGTTCATGGTGGAGAATTTGGATAGGAGAGTGGAGGCTGGGAATGTTATTTTAAAGCTTGATATGATGAAAGCCTATGACAGGCTGGAATGGGACGTCTTGTTTAAAACTTTATCATGTTTTGGGTTTTCTGAATTATTTGTCAATATTATTGCAAATTGTTTAGAAACCCAGTTTGTTTCGGTAAGTGTAAATGGTCAGAGAGTTGTTTTTTTCCTACCACCAGGGGGTTAAGACATGGAGATCCAATCTCTCCTTGTTTGTTTATCCTTGCTGAAAAGGTTCTTAGTACAGGGATGAGGAGATTATGTTTGGAAGGAAAAGTGGGTAGCTATCACCTGGGAAGAGGTTCATCTTTAGTTAGTCATCTCTTGTTTGCGGATGATACATTGGTATTTCTTAGAAGGGATAGGAGATCTATGAAGAATTTGCTNGGGTTAAGACATGGAGATCCAATCTCTCCTTGTTTGTTTATCCTTGCTGAAAAGGTCCTTAGTACAGGGATGAGGAGATTATGTTTGGAAGGAAAAGTGGGTAGCTATCACCTGGGAAGAGGTTCATCTTTAGTTAGTCATCTCTTGTTTGCGGATGATACATTGGTATTTCTTAGAAGGGATAGGAGATCTATGAAGAATTTGCTGATTTTTTTGGAGAGTTATGAAGGTAGTTNGTACAGGGATGAGGAGATTATGTTTGGAAGGAAAAGTGGGAAGCTATCACCTGGGAAGAGGTTCATCTTTAGTTAGTCATCTCTTGTTTGTGGATGATACATTGGTATTTCTTCGAAGGGATAGGAGATCTATGAAGAATTTGCTGATTTTTTTGGAGAGTTATGAAGGTAGTTCTGGGCAGAAAGCCAGTGTTCAGAAAAAGTTCCATGTACTGTTCAAAGCTGATCTCTGCTGGCAGGAGGTTGGAGTTGTCAAATTTAGCAGGTATTCCAATTAAGCAGTACCCCTTTATGTATTTGAGATGTCCTATTATTAAAGGGAGAGCTAGAATCAGGGATTTTGAAGAGGTTTTGGCTAAGTTTAGAAGCAGATTGGAGGGTTGGTATTCCAAAATGCTTTCAAACATGGGTCGAATTTTAATGGTGAAGTATGTTCTAAATTCTGTTCCCATTCATATTCTGGCCCGTCATAACTTACCTAAAACTATTATTCATAGAATGAATGCTATGATGGCTGGCTTTATCTGGTCTAATAAAATGGAGGTGAGAAAGAGGCATTGGGTGTCTTGGAATAAGGTTACGTTACCTAAGGAGGAGGGGGGATTAGGTGTGAGGAGGTTTGAAGATTTACAGCTGGCTTTCCGAATGAAACAAGTGTGGAATTTGTTGCAGAAATCCTCATTATGGGCTAAGGTCTATTCTACCAAATTTCTATAGGGTAAACATTTGCTGAGATGTGTAAGAGGGGGACATTCTATGTGTTTGAAGGTCTTGCGGCCTTTCTTTGAGATTGTGTTATTAAATTCCAGAGTACTGTTGGGGAGAGGTGATCATACTGACTTCTGGTGTGATTTGTGGTTAGGAGATAGGCCTTTGCTCTTTAGGATAAAGGGTTTGCCTCTGGTATTTCCTAAGGTCAGCGAGTTGTATGTTAACTCAGTTTGGCAATTGGGGACTGTTGAGCACCTGTTAGGTGAACAGTTAGTTGCTGAGATTAAGAACTGTGGGGCTTTTCTTTCTAATTCAGATGATAAATGGATTTGGCAGTGTTCCAGTTCTGGTTCTTTTTCTGTCAAAACTGCATGGCAATTGGTTAGACATCGGGAGCCAGGGGGAAAGGAATGGGGTTGAAAAGGTTATATGAGGTATAGTGACTGCTCCAAGTGCACAGCTTTTGTGGGTTGGAAAATTTTAATGAATGCCTTACCTATTGATGCCAGGATTAGGAATTGTGGTGTCTCTATGGTTAGCAGATGTTCTCTGTGTTTAAGTGAAGAGGAGACTTCTGTACATTTGTTTGTGGATTGCTTTTATGCTAAGTTAATATGGAGTAGGTTGGTGAGTATGGCTGGCTTTCCGCTTATAGAGGGGGAGTTGGAGTTGGTGAGAATGAAGAGAATTTGCAGAATTTTTAGGAAAAAGTCTCTGGGCTGCTCTCTTGTAAGAAGTTTGGCATTGTTAATTTACTGGTTGGTTTGTAAAGAACGGTGTAGGAGAAGAGCTGGAGAAGGTCCTATTAATTCCTATTCTGTTTTCCTTAAAATCTGTAGCTTGTTGAGATTTCATGTTAAAAACATAAAGCCTAAGTTGATGGATAGGGAAAGAGGAAGGTGTTTACTGCTCTTGTTAGGGATTAATGTGCCTAATGTGATCAGAACTAAGGCCATTTGGGTTTGCTGGGCTAATCCAGAGTGTGGTTCATTGAAGTTAAATGTGGATGGAGCTGCTAAGGGCAACCCTGTTATGGCTGGTGGGGGTGCAGTGGTTGGTAATGAATGGGGAGGAGTGGTTTTAGCTGCATCTTTTTTCTATGGCATATGCTCTAATATGGTGCTGAGTTTAGAGCTTTGTTAGACGGTTTGAGTTTGCTTGATAAGTATGGCCTCCTTGTATATAAAATTCAGATTGAATCAGATTCTCAAGTGCTGGTGAAGACGATAAAGGGAGAGGTGCAGTCTGCTTGGCCTTTTATAGGCATTTTGACTCAAATAATGCAGATTTTGGCTAGGATGCAGCTCCAGTTGACACATGTATTTAGGGAGGCTAATTTTGTAGCGGATGGTTTGGCAAATAAGGCGGTCCAAGATGGTTTCTCTACTGATTTTTCGGGTACTAGTCTCTTACCAGTTGCTGTTAGAATGAAGCTGCTCCAAGATCAGCGACATTTGCCAACATTGAGAACCAAAACTATATTGGTTTTTGATCATTGTGGTTTAATGGTATGTTTGAAGTGTAGATATGATGAGTGGTGTTTTGGAATAGGCTTGCTGCCTTGGTGGAATGGTGATTATACTGCGCAAAGAGACACAGCCAGAGGGGACTGCTATGGTCTTTTAGTGAGGTTATGGTGCCTTTACTTTGTTTTTTTGGGGCCTTGGTTTGTAATGTTTTTGACAGTGAGTTGTTTTGAAGGATTAAAGCCAAAATGTGGCTTGTCCTCTTTGCTTCTTGCAATTCTTTAATTTTCTCAATAAATTTTCTCTCTTTTTAAAAAACAAAAAATGAAAAGACTACTTAACACCAAAGAGCTGTAACAATACCTCCATTACCTATGGAAGAAGAAAATATGGTCCTCCAAAAAGATAGTCGATTAACTTACGAGTGTTCATATGAGGAGTTTGAGTAAAGCTACAACAAATGCAAATTAGTGGACCTAATAAATACATGAGAACCAAACAATAAGACAGAAAATGAAGGATTTTGTGGTAAACGGTTGAGAGTAAAGTGAAGAGGAAGTGAATGGATGCCATGAAGATGGAAAGTTTTGGCTGTTATGCTAAGAAATTATGTCTTCAATATATGGCTCGTTGTAATTTTTATGGCCATTAATTCTATGAATGAAAATAATTATTCTCCCATATGCAAAGAAGTTGTGACGTATTAAAAACTTCACGACCCTACCTATTGAATGATTAAATGTACACTATAATGAGGTGTAGAAAGAGAGGTGTATATTATGGGAGGCTAAGAGCCCTAATGCATTAGGGCTAATTAACTAAAATTATCTTTTAGTTAATTTGTATGTATTCAATTTGAATTAATGTTAGAAAGGATACAAGTGGTATTAGTTTTTTTATTATGGTTATTTTAGTCAATCAAAAAATTTTCATCTTTGTTGACATTTTATAGTAATATTGACTAGTTACTGCACATGTACATTACACGTGAACTATTAATCTATTAGTTTTGTTTTTTTTTTAATTTTGATTTTTACAACAATGTGTTGTGTGGCCAAATTGTCGTTGAAAGACCATACATTGAAACATAAACATTAAGCAAGAGTGTAATAGGATACGTTAACCATAATGCACATTAACTTTGTTGAGTGTGATGGCGAATCACATAAACAGTAACATGCAAATGCAAAATTAACAAAACTAAATGCTTCCTTCAGTCATGACCACAACATGTCCTTTCATGTAATGCAAAGCTCCTCAAAGCAGCACTAACTAATGCAACTTTGAGCAACAACACTCCAACATATGCTTAAAAAACCTGAAACCAGAAAAAAAAACACATACTTTTGATTTAGATCAAGACTTTCAAGCAACATGGTTAATTATGTCCCTCGTGATAAAAAAAAAACATAAAATTATCTCTCCCTAAATTTGAAGAACGAAGCAGCACAAAATGTATAGGGGCGAGGGTCCAATATGGTACATGGAAGTAATACTTCACTAAAAAATTCTCAACATGTTGAATGCATTATTATGCATAGGTCAAGACCATCCCTGGACAAGCTTTTGTTTGTGCAGCATTAACTGAAACGAAGGTGGAAAAGAGCAAGGAATCTTTTGTCACCAAAGATAGAGATGTTCATTTGGTATGTAATTTCAAGATCATTGAAGAAATAAGGGCGATTAATCAATTTGATTATAGTTTAGAAGCAAAAGATCAAGTCAAGACTTTCCACCTTTGTACATAGGATTTGATCAAAAAATAGGGATAAAGAGTACCCAATTCCTTGCTTTGCTAATAACATGAAAGATTTTCGGCATGAAGAGAAAAAAGAAGGATCAAATTTCAAGCTCTAATGACAACTCATTACTTGTGGCGGGAATGCAGTGTGGCACAGAAGATGAACGTTAGGTTTGGATAAACCGCAAACCTACAAGGTTCCCGTATCAGCATTCTAGCCGTCGGTGATGCATTTACATGGGTATAAAGAAAGGAAAAAAATACGGAACAAAGAAGGGACATAAATATTCGTCCAATGGCATGATCATTTGTTTTTGATAAATTTACACCTTTAATCACGCTCCAGAAGATAGCCGCTACATTGTTTTTTTGATGGGCATTCATGTGATAAGATAAAAGTTGAATTGTTCAGCACCAAAAAAAAATGACTGTAAAAAGCAAAAGAAAAAGAAATGGCACATAATGCAAATCTACCAATACAAGAGACAGGACATAGACGATTTTAGTCCATATAACCTAGTTAAGGTTCATAATGTTCCGAAGTGATGGCTTAGCTTTTTGTGTTTGTTAGAATGACCAATTGTGTTCCTATCATTGTGTGAAAGTTTTGAATTGCTAATATTTTAAGGTTCTCTGGCCTAATATATTAATAAATTCTACTCCATGTATCAACATCAATTTGCTATAATATAACAAAAAACTCAAACTCAAGAATAGATTGATCAACAGTGAGGCAATGATACAAGCGTATTCTTGCTCAATTATGTGGATGCTCCCTTTCTATTTACTTGTTCATAGTTTGATGTACTGATCTTGGCGTGAAATTTACACAAGAAACTAAGGAATCAAGACCATCAGTTGATAATTTTACTGTATGGGAGGATGTTACACAAACAAGGATGAACATCAAACAGATAGAGACAAACCTGTACCAATGTCCTTGGAACAAACAGAAGCAGTGTTGAATGAAAAAGACAAAATGATATTTGCCGCTCAATATGTACTCTTCCATCTGCAAATCTAATGATTAGATACAAAAAATCCATAGGACATCAAAATGAAGAATATATTTGAAGAGCCTATTGGAAGATATAATGAAGCATAAGCATGTAAAAATTAGTTCACTTTGTATAAAAGTTCCTTAAGAATTTGGCTTAAAAACTAATAAACTAACTATCTTTATTTTCAAAGATTTTGAATTTACTATTTCTCTTGGGTGAATTTGATATGAACAATGGTTTAAACGTAAGTCAATGTTGTGGTAATACAAGGTTTAAGATCAGTTCTCCCTGAAATCTACTCTTATTTTACCAATTGATAGGAAACATTCAACCCCCACCCACTTTTTACATATCCTGTAACTATAAAATTAACATCTAGATTTACGTTCAAAATAAAAAAGCAATTGGATGCTCAGATTAAACCTGTTTTACCTTTCAGAATTGTGATTAGATGGTATTGAAGTTTTGTTGACTAAACAATAATCACTATATGCAGAGTTCTACCTGTTTTTCACCGGAATATATAGAACAACAATTCGACATCAATAAGGAGATGAGGGCTATCCTAATTAATTGGCTAAATTGCTAAGGATCAAATATTATGAAAAACCTGAATACAAATATAATAAATCCAACAACACCCATCACATACAAGAACCACAAATCATAACCAGAACTACTGAGATATATTACCTACAACTAAAAATTCATTACCTTCAAGCAATACACTGATGGTTGTGCAGTGCCAACGCACAAAAGCTGAGGGCATCTGACAGAGAGGGGAAGAAAGAGAAGTGTGTCAATTGATGTCAGCTTATAAAAGTGGAGAATGAGGAATATATTCACCATACTGAATTTGTGGCCTTCCTAATAGTTTGATGAGAAAAACAACTGCAAATTTATGAGGCGAATAATTAATTTACCTCGTTAAAAGTTGAATGTACTAGTATCTAAGCAAAAGAATGAGTAAATAAGAAAAATCAATAATGTAGGATGCCAGACAGTAATGTACTCATATTGCTCAGAAGCAACATATAAGCAAAAATCTCAAAATATCGCAAACTCCAACTATGTAGTCTAGCTTATGCATACCCAATTACATTGCAATTTAAGAATACAATGGTACCTAGATGATTGTGTGGTGTATGTATAGTATTAACGATAACTAACCTTTTTATAGTGGGTTTGTATTTGAAGCGTGAGCTCCGTGAACTTACATTGTTATGATATTTCAACTAAATTGTCAATTGCACTCTCACAATAAAAGCTGTTCGTAACTCATGCTCAATTTATCATTGCTTGAACAACTCACTATGTCTTCATATATCAGCAATTTTTTTTGCTTGAGATTACTCACCTAAGTTGATTTACACGTGCGTACGCATGAAATATGTTGAATTATCATTTTGATCATTATTTTATATTACTGATTTCTAATTTTATTGGTTGAGAATTCGAAGATTTGAGCATGTCTCCATATTTGATTTATATTGAACGATAACACACAATACACGGAGTTATGTTTCAACTTGTAGCTCTACCCAAACTAAATTTCATTCCTAGAAAAAAAGTATTTTTGGTCCTAAATCAGCCACTATATTCTCAAAGGCTGTTTTCAAGTTTATATTCTTATCTATTCCATGATGAAATCATATATTACACAAGTTTACTATGAGCCAAGCTTTCGTCAATTCCTTGCTACACAATTGGTTTCAAGGAAAGTGTGGCTAACTCTTTCATTTGATTCTTGAGCTGTTAAAACACATTGACAAATAAATGTAAAATTTTAAAAATAACAGGAAGCGTATAAAATGTAAAAATCTCACGGCCCAAACTTGAAAGGGGAAACATGATTGTGGGCTAAGCAAAGATTGGCAAAAAACAATCCACGTCCCTATCCTAATTCTATAAGCTTTTCCACTGGTATCAAATGCAATGCAATCATCTTGGGCAATGTGCCACTTTCCTCGACATGCTAAACATTTCCAAGTGCTAATTACCAACATATCATGGTTGAATGTCAACTATCTTAGCAACAGTTTAGTCCTGTCAACATCTAGGAAAACAAAAACACCAAGAGGATCCAATTGAGTCCTAAACGTTCCAAAGCATAATACCTCTCTTGTGTCTTGCACATACGAGGATCCTACTGCAAACTCTTGAAATCCCCTATCAATCTCTTCCTCAGAGTAGTCGACATCCTCCCTGGTTTTGTCACCAACTTGGAAAACAAATCTAATTAACTACAGCAAATTCAAGCAAAAATTAGCTTTCATTTGCAAGTACAGAATTGTATTTATCCCTTTCAAAAAGAACCCCGGATCCATAAGTTATATGAAGATCTAGATACATAGAGATAGAGAGCTTACCTATGAGTATGAGTGGTAAGAACAATTAGGTTATTGACGAATTCTTGCAATAGAAAGAATGACTGGCACAAAACTTTTCATAACGGCATTATCTGCAACAAAAAGATAGTTTATGAAGGTATTGATCAACCAACTGCACAAACTTTAGAAAAAAAAAATAAAAAATAAAAATCATATTTTGAGGGTCATATGCATAGTTTCCTCAATAGATAATCAGCAAAGCTTGAACCTCCAGATTCCAGAACGCGGCCGAGTAAACAAATAATGGTGACGAGCCTTCAGTGGTGAACACTAGTAACCTGATGTAAGAGAACACCCGCAAAATTTTGTTGAAAATGCTCTGATCACGTCCTTGCCAAGTGGCGCACCACCACAATCAACCCTATCCAACTACCTCAAATCATAGCCATCCGTCACATCTCCCTTCGCCATAGTCACCAACACCGGTAGTGCCACTGCCACTGCCACATCCGTCACCCTGAACTCCCCCACAGCTCTCCACATTTTCCTCAAGTCAAACCTCTCCATCAACACCACAGTCTCACTTAGAGCCACAGACTTCACACTGTCAAAAACCCAAATACATGAAAATAAGGCACCGTATACAGCAACAACGTCGGTGACTCCCTCTCCGGTCGCCGAGCTAAAAATATCCCTACAATCGCAATCAAGTTCCGATGAGTAAGCATCACACCTTTGATTTGGCTGGTAGTCCCCGACGAGTACATAATCGCTGCGATATCAGACTGACTCACTTCGACGCGGGGCAGAGTTCACGACTTGAACTCGATAACACCGACTCAAACTCAGGCGAGTCAATAAGTATTGTCCGGTATCGCATGGTTGGAAGCTTGTGACACGTTGATGACACGACAAAGACGATCACTGCTTTTGAGAGCTTGATTTGGCGGGAAATCTCGGTTGAATTGGGAGAGAGAATGAATGCAGTGTCGCCTTTGGAGAGACCCGTTAGGTTTTGCAGAGATGCGGCCAGGATTTTGGTTTGATTGGTGAATTCGGAGTAAGAGAAGCAGCGGCCAGTGGCTGAGTTGATCAGAGTGGTTGGGTTGGGGCATGGTGAAGTGAGTTGGAGGGTCGACGGAGAAGGAGAGAGGTTGTTAACGGCTGGAAACTTGGGAGGGCGGTGATGAATTAGGTTTATTGGGCCATTTATTTTGCTGAAAAATTGGGAGGAGCAGCACCTGTGATGAATTGGCTTCTAGAAGGCATTAAATTTGTAGGATATACGGTTGGATGGCATATTTGTTTTTACTAACAGCAGGAAAATAAAGTTTTAAAGATACATTGGTACTTTAAAATAATATAAGTAATTACTCATGCTCGAGGGTATTATTGAAAAAAACTACACTTGATACAATATATAAATCAAACAAGAAATTTAGTACAATGACAATAAAACAACTAACAAAATCGATTTAAAATATATTATTAGGTGAGTTGTAGTGGTGGTTGCGGAAATGGGTTATGTGAGTCTGTGGTGGCAATGGGGTTGATGGCGAAGGGGGTGGGTTGGGTAGTGCGAGGCTTGGTGAATTTCATAGTCGTGGTTGTGGCTTGATATGCTATGGTTGATGGAAGAGTAAAGTGAGAAAGTTGAAAAAGAGACGATGGTGATGGCCAGTTAGAATCTTGATGAAGGTGATTAAATATTTGAATATCAATTAATTCATTAATTTTTCTAACTATAAAGACCCAAGAACAAAACACTGCTAACAAATTATAAAAGACCAACCAATAGCATAATTCGAAAAATCAAAAACCCTAAACAACACAAAAATGCATTAAAAACAAAAATCCTTTTATATTAAAATTTTGACCAAAATACAAAACCCAAACATACATGAGCGCACTATCATAAGATCAAATCGAACCAAATGAACAACTAAACATAGGACCAAAACTACCAATGTGCTACCACATTTAAGAGGAGGTTCTCTTTGAATGTTTCTAATGTTTTTTTTTATAATTATTGAGAAATCTGCCCTTTTTTTTTTTGTTTGTCATAGTCCTCACTTAGGTGGTATAGTAATGTTGGCATGCCTAGAAGAGTAGTCAATAATTGAACACTTGTTCAATTGTCACAATTAAGTATAAATAGATCCTGGTAATTTTTTTAAAAAAAANTTTGTTTGTCATAGTCCTCACTTAGGTGGTATAGTAATGTTGGCATGCCTAGAAGAGTAGTCAATAATTGAACACTTGTTCAATTGTCACAATTAAGTATAAATAGATCCTGGTAATTTTTTTAAAAAAAAAATTAACCTCAATTGTGCAAGGACCAATTTTATTTATTAAAATTTAAAAATGTGAACTGGGGAACTTGTAGTANGGGAGGGCGGTGATGAATTAGGTTTATTGGGCCATTTATTTTGCTGAAAGATAGTAATATATATTATCTATTAGAATAAAACTAAAAAATTAAATAAGGGGTCAAATTATAATGGATATAATATCTTTTAGCTTTAATTGGAATAGTTTAATATTTTAATTTGATAGTTAAAACAACCAAGTTAAATTCCAATAGACAATATAATTGTATACTAATTACAATTTTTTAAGAAAAAATTGAATTTTTATTTTTGCTTTTATTTTAATAAAAAATAAATAGAACATGAATTTTAATCATAAAATTTAAGATATTTGATATTTTATTTTTGATTGAAGTATTTTTGGTCTAACTATANAAAATAAATAGAACATAAATTTTAATCATAAAATTTAAGATATTTGATATTTTATTTTTGATTGAAGTATTTTTGGTCTAACTATAATAATTTAAACTTAAGGGGTCTAAGTATTATATACTTATAAACTTCAAGGGAGTCTAAGTATAATTTATTAATGGATATATTTATAATAGAGTCTAAGTGTTACGCGCATACAAATCTTAGAGGGGTCTGTGTATAATATTTTAAATGTCAAAGATCTAAGTGATTAAGTGACAAACTTCAAAAAGTCTACGTGTAATTCTCCCTATTTGTTTTTACCAGAAACTAACAGTAGGAAAATAAAAAAATTAACAGTAGGAAAATAAAGTTTTAAAGATATGTTGGTACTTTAAAATAATATAAATTATTATTCATGCCTAAGAATACTATAAAAAAAAAATTACACTTGAAACAATGTATAGCACAAAATATCAATTAATATAGACCCATTATTAAAAAAATTGACAAAATACACTTTNCCTCAAAAAGTTTAGGTGTAATTCTCCCTATTTGTTTTTACCAGAAACTAACAGTAGGAAAATAAAGAAAGTAACAGTAGGAAAATAAAGTTTTAAAGATATGTTGGTACTTTAAAATAATATAAATTATTACTCATGCCTAAGAATACTATAAAAAAAAAAAATTACACTTGAAACAATGTATAACACAAAATATCAATTAATATAGACCCATTATTAAAAAAATTGACAAAATACACTTTAAAAACACGACTCTTAGACAATATCAATCTATATACATAATTTGTATAAATGGCAATAATAAACACCACGAACTCAACTTTTTTTGGTAAAACTCATGCCGTGGCAAAATTTATTAATAATCGAAATTACAAAAAAAAAAAAAAAGAAAAGAAAAGGAAGGCGGACTTAAACCTTACCCCTCCACATAATAAAATAAAATAAATAATTGAAAAGTCTTGCTTTCAAATGAAAGTGACAATTTAAATGGCCTAAGCTCACTTGTTACCAACTTGTCCAATTGGAGCAAGGTCATAAGATAAACCATCAAGTCCCCTAGTTCCATTAAGCAAGCTATGGAATGATTTGAGGATTAGGATTTAAAACCACTCAAAATGCGATGAGTTTTGTTACTATCATATCCCTACAATTAGGCCCACATGAATAGAAATCAAGCAAGAAATTTAATACAATGACAATAAAACAACTAACAAAATCGATTTAAAATCTATTGTTCAGTGGGTTGTAGTGATGCTTGCAGAAATGGGTAATGTGGCTCTGTGGTGGGGCTGGGGTTGATGGCGGAGGGGGTGGGTTGGAAAGTGCAAAGCTTGGTGAATTTCATAGTCGTGGTTGTGGCTTGGTAGGCTATGGTAGATGGAGGAGCAAAGTGAGAAAGATGAAAAAGAGACGATGGTGATGGCTATTTAGAATCTTGATGAAGGTGATTTAATATTTTAATATCAATTAATTCATAATTTTTCTAACTATAAAGACCCTAAAACAAAACAATGCTAACGAATTATAAAAGACCAACCAATAGCATAATTCGAAGAATCAAAAACCCTAAACAACACAAAAATGCATTAAAAACAAAAATCCTTTTATATTGAAATTTTGACAAAAATACAAAACCCAAACATACATGAGTGCACTATCATAAGATCAAATCCAACCAAATGAACAACTATACGTAGGACCAAAACTACAAATGTGCTACCACATTTAAGAGGAGCTTCGCTTTGATTGTTTCTAATATTTTTTTATAATTATTGAGAAAACTGCCCCTTTTTTGTTTGTCATAGTCTTCACTCAGGTTGTACATTAATGTTGGCATGCATAGAAGAGTAGTCATTAATTGAACACTTGTTCGATTGTCACAATTAAGTATAAATAGATCCTGGTAATTTTTTTTTTAAAAAAAATTAACCTCAATTGTGCGAGGACCAATTTTATTTATTAAAATTTTAAAATGTGAACCGGGGAACTTGTAGTCTCACCTGATGGTAAGAAAAAANTTTAAAACATTAACCTCAATTGTGCGAGGACCAATTTTATTTATTAAAATTTTAAAATGTGAACCNAAAAAAAATTAACCTCAATTGTGCGAGGACCAATTTTATTTATTAAAATTTTAAAATGTGAACCGGGGAACTTGTAGTCTCACCTGATGGTAAGAAAAAAAAAATTAAAGAACGAAACATTAAGGGCAAAAATGTTTATTGCCATGTAAGCCGATATTTTTTAAATTTTAGGATAGTTAGTCCATTCCCAAAAAACTTTGCATGATTTAAGGGATTTGTTTTGCTAAAGATTCAAATATGCACTCTACCTTATTGTATGACTTACACAACCACACATGGTTTCCAAACCCTTTTGAATTTTAAACTCATCCACCAAGATCCCCACCCATAGTAATAAGCCCAAAACAGTTGTACCAAAATGACGAAAATCATGCATAGCTTTCTTGAAATTTTCTCTATCAAAACTTTATGGGGAGAGAGAATTCGAAAGAAATCTCTACTCATAGCTCCCTTGAGATACTCTAGTTGCATTCCACAAAACCTAAAATAAGACGTCCAAAAATGAAATGAAAGATACTTTTATGGTAGGATACTTTCATGATTCAGGCTACCCCCATTACTTCAGTTTAAAACTCTATAGTATCCTACCAATTTTAAGATCCTCCAATATCTCTTGTAACTTCGCAAGCACTAATGTCTCTTCCCTTTTTACTTTTTTCAAGATTGACCTATCCCATAAACGTCATATGTAAAATAAGAAAGTAGGATCTAATAAAAGCAATTAGATGTAATGTGTAAAATAAGAAAGTAGGATCTAATAAAAGCAATTAGATGTAATGTAAACCAAACCTAAAATATTGAAGTCCACTTACTGGATGTGCGAATAATTGCGATGACTGAGACAAAGCACAATTGTTACTCATGGCTCACCAATTCGACGACAAAACCAACTAATTACTTCGGCAATGTTCCACTATCAAGGAGTGTGGGGTGGTGGCTTACGGTGGTTGGTGGCAGTGGTTCGCTCACCAATTTGACGATGAAAGCAACTGATTAGTTAGAGTTGCTAGGTGAGGTAAGGAGAGAGAGTTAGATGAGAGAGATGTGTCA